GGGGTTATCCAATGTTCTGAGTAACATGCTACCATAGGAAGAAGGATTTGCTGCTCAGGCCTGGAGACAGACAGACACACACACACACACACACACACACACACACACACACACACAGGCTTGACACACAATTGGTAGTGTCCAGCTAAATACTTAGTAGTATGAGGAGGGCTTTGAATCCATCCATGCTCCAAAGGAAGAGACACCTTTCCCTAATTCACACGTCCATTCTCCAACCTTCTCCCTCAACGCTGCCTCCTCCTCAAGCCCACGCATTACTACGTAGAACGAAATTAGGCAGGGCTATCAGGTTTAAAGCATTGCCAATGATGCTGTCATTAAAAACAACAGCACAGTCAAACAGAGAGCATGCTTGCATGTGATGCACTGGACAGAGGGAGGATTCACATCCTGGTGGGATGGAGAGGAATGATGTAAGATTTCATCACGCTACTCAGAACAACATGCAATTTAAAACTTCTAAACTGTTTATTTCTAGAATTTTCTAATTCATATTTCAGACATTGACCAAAGGTAACTGAAACAGTAGAAAATGAAATTGTGGGTAAGCAGGAAACTACTGCAATTGTTACCCTGATATAATAATCTAGCCAGGCCTGCCAGGATGTCTTCCTCAGGGGATATTTTAAAACATCAAAAATCAAAAACGGGGACTGCCAGGCAACATGGCTGAGTAGGAACAGCTCCAGTCTGCAGCTCCCAGTGAGACCAACGCAGAAGGCAGGTGATTTCTGCATTTCCAACTGAGGTACCCAGCTCATCTCATTGGGACTGGTTAGACAGTGGGTGCAGCCCATGGAGGGTGAGCAGAAGCAGGGTGGGGCGTAGCCTCGCCTGGGAAGTGCAAGGAGCCGGGGAACTCCCTCCCCTAGCCAAGGGAAGCTGTGAGGGACTATATTGTAATACTATGTTTTTCCCACAGTCTTTGCAACCATCAGACTAGGAGATTCACTCAGGCTCCTACACCACAAGGGCCCTGGGTTTCAAGCACAAAACTGGGCAGCCATTTGAGCAGACACCAAACTAGCTGCAGGAGTTTTTTTATCGTACCCCAGTGGCACCTGGAACCCCAGCAAGACAGAACCGTTCACTCCCCTGGAAAGGGGGCTGAACACAGGGAGCCAAGTGGTCTATCTCAGCGGATCCCACCCCCACAGACCCCAGCAAGCTGAGATCCACTGGCTTGAAATTCTCAATGCCAGCACAGCAGTCTGAAGCTGACCTGCAATGCTTGTGCTTGGTGGGGCGAGGGGCATCCACCATTACTAAGGCTTGAGTAGGCAGTTTTCCCCTCACAGTATAAACAATGCAGCAGGGAAGTTAGGACTAGGTGGAGCTCACCACAGCTCAGCAAAGCCGCTGTAGCCAGACTGCCTCCTCAAGTGAGTCCCTCACCCCCGTGCCTCCTGATTAGGAGACACCTCCCAGCAGGGGCTGACAAACACCTCATACAGGTAAGCTCCAGCTGGCATCCAGCAGGTGCCCCTCTGGGACGAATCTTCCAGGGGAAAAAACAGGTAGCCATCAATGCTGCTCTGCAGCTTCTGCTGGTGATACCCAGGAAATACAGAAAAATACAGGAAATACAGAGAACCCCACTAAGATATGCCTTGGAAGAACAACCCCAAGACACAATCACCAGATTCACCAAGGTTGAAATGAAGGAAAAAATGTTAAGAGTCGCCAGAGAGAAAGATTGGGTTACCCACAAAAGGAAGCTCATCAGACTAACAGTGGATCTCTCTGCAAAAACCCTACAAGCCAGAAGAGAGTGGGGGCCAATATTCAACATTCTTAAAGAAAAGAATTTCAACCCAGAATTTCATATTCAGCCAAACTCAGCTTCATAAGCAAAGGAGAAATAAAATCCATTACAGACATGCAAATCCTGAGGGATTTTGTCACCACCAGGCCTGCCTTACAGGAGCTCCTGAAGGAAGCACTAAATATGGAAAGGAAAAACTGGTACCAGCCACTGCAAAACTTACCAGAATATAAAGACCAGTGACACTGTGAAGAAACTACATCAATTGATGGGCAAAATAACCAGCTAGCATCATGATGACAGGATGAAATTCACACATAACAATATTAACCTTAAATGTAAATAGGCTAAATGCCCCAATTGAAAAACACAGACTGACAAATTGGATAGAGTCAAGACCCATCAGTGTGCTGTATTCAGGAGACCCATCTCTTGTACAAAGACACACATAGGTTCAGGACTAAGAAACTCACTCAAAACTGCATAACTACATGGAAACTGAATAACCTGCTCCTAAATGACTACTGGGAAATAACTAAATTAAGGCAGAAACAAATAAGTTCTTTGAAACTAATGAGAACAAAGACACAACATACCAGAATCTCTGGGACACAGCTAAAGCAGTGTTTAGAGGGAAATTTATAGCACTAATTGCCCAGAGGAGAAAGCAGGAAAGATCTAAAATCGACACCCTAACATCAAAATTAAAAGAACCAGAGAAACAAGACCGAACAAATTCAAAAGCTAGCAGAAGACAAGAAACAACTAAGATCACAGCAGAGAAATAACTAAGCAAGGAGCTCAGTTATTTCTCACGGCAAGGAGAAATAACTAAGGAGAAGGAGATAGAGATAGATGATCCCTATAGGAAAATCCTAATTGAAAGGGAAGAAGGGGCAAGCACACTGCAATAGTCTATAAAAATTCTGAAATGCAGTTTGGTATACGCTTCCAGTGCCTTATCAAGATTCAGTCCTACTGTCTGGGACTTGTTCTCTGTGAATTTCAAATTCCGAGACATATCTGGTTTAGGGATGCAGTAAAGGATTGTGAAGCTGTACTCAGAGACTATAAGAAAAAGACGTGATAAACACTCCCATTGCCTTTCAAAGACTGAGCTCTTCAGAGGATGCTGTTGTTGCTTCTGTTTCTCAAGATGATTAGAGTTTGAGGAGTGGAATTTTAAGCAGCTCAGAGGTAAATGAGATAAAGGCGAAATGGTTCTGTAACCATTTCTTCTGCCCCTGCACTGACAGATTATGCCAAAAGAGCACAGTTATGAGGAGTACAGAGTGCAGTCAAGTGCTGCAGGACATAACTTTGTCAAATACTTCATATTTGCCAGGCACTGTGCTCAAGGCTTTACTGGCATTATCCCATTCAATCCTTCTAAAATCTTATGAGGCAGGTACGAACCTACATATTTTACAGGTGAGAAAATGGAGGCTTAGAGATGTTAATCAGTGTGCTGAAGATTTGCAAAGTTAGAAAATAGTTACAAAAATTGTGAAATGACTTTCTCCATCATTTTGCTTGTTTTCACCATTACAATGGATGTGAAAAAATTTTAATCTCTACTTCAGCAGTCCCCAACCTTTTTGGCATCAGGGACCAGTTCCATGAAAGACCATTTTTCCACAGATCACAGGGTTGGGGAGGGGATGATTCAATTACATTACATTTACTGTGTACTTAGTTACTACTATTATTACATTGTAATATATAATGAAATAATTATACAATTCATATAATGCAGAACATGTGGGAGCCCTGAGCTTGCTTTCCTGCAACTAGATGGTCCCATCTGGGGGTGATGGGAGACAGTGACACCCGACGTGTGTTGCTTATGTCCAGTCTACTCCATAATCTCATTATGGTTTCTGTCACTACAAAAAACCCTGCTTCACAAAGATAGGACATTGGAAATAAAAGCAGGCTTTTCAGTGCTTTTGTGGCGATCTCAGGATATTCCACTTTGACTTTAATCCAGAACATAAGAAGATCTGAAGTTGTCTCAAACATACTTTTAAGGCCACTGTCATTTTCTATCTCAAGCAGTTGATCCTCTTCTAACATGGACAAAGTCAATTCACCTGGCTTATTCACAGATGGGTTGCAAATCCATTCCTTCCTAGTTTGATGGTCTTTGTGGTTGGGAAGTACTGCTCAAAATCTTTTGGAAACTGAGACGGGTGATCAGGCACCAGCTGGGAGAAAGAAGGCCCTGGCTCAGTCTCTTTCAAATTCTCTGCTAATGTTTGAAACAGGTCAAAAATCCCAGTGTTCACTTGTCATCCCCAGAATTCCAGCTCGGCTTTGAATGCAGCCACCTTATCTGCTGACTTGAACACAGTTGTTCTCCTCTGAAGCGACAGATTGAGTTCGTTGAGCAGGTTGAATACATCACACAAGGAAGCAAGTTTTGCAGCCCACACTGTGTCACTGAAATGTGCTGCCAATGGTGACTGTTTTTCTAAAAGAAATCTCTGAAGCGGTTCATAACTCAAAAACTCTGGCCAGTAATCTACCTTTAGAAAGCCTCCTACCTCTATGTATAAGAGAAGACGTGTGTGCTCTGCAGCCACCTCCTCACAGAGCTGCGTGAACAGATATCAGTTAAGGGTGTGTACTTTAATGTGGTTGATAATTTTAACCACATCCTGCAAAACATTGTTAACTTCAGGTGACATTTTTCAGCTAGCTGGCATTTTTCTATGGATGACACATTGCATAGACTCACATTCACAAGCGACCTCTTTGACCCAAGCAGTGAAACCAGAAAGCCATCTAGTCGTGGCAGCCACTCTGTCCTTGCATAAATCAACACAAAATGACCAGTTCAATTTCCTGATACGTAATCATTCAAAGACTTGAATAATTTGGCAGCTGTGGTATTGGTTGGCAACAAAAGTATCCAAAACATATCCTTATGCACATCCTCTTGAAAACTATATCACACAAAAACAAATATTGTTGCTTCGTCAACATCAGTGGACTGGTCAACCTGGATTGTGTACTACAGTGACTTATTAATTCTCTCTAACAATTGTGCCTCAATATCCTCTGCTATTTCATCAATTCCTCTAGTTACGGTACTAGCCAAAAGAGGAACACATGCTAGCTTTTGAACTGCAGACTCTCCTAAAAGTTCATCACAAATGTCCTTAGCAACCGGCAGGATCAACTCTCTACCAACAGTAAAGGGCTTCTTACCTTTAGCAATGTGGTTAGCCACTAAGAATGATGCTCTCAGTGCAGACACATTTGATGAAGTGGTGGCCTTCAATAATTGCTTCTGTTCTTCATGTTCATGTTTTTTTTTTTTTTCTTTTGAAAAACTCCAAAGGCTTGTTTTTTAATGCCGGGTGCTTGGTCTCCAGGTGGCAAAGCAGTTTTGAAGGTTTTATGTCTTCATGGGATAGCCAGTCACCATATATTATACAAAGTGGGCTTGTGGAATGTGAATCACCTGTTGCAATGAAACCATAATTTGAGTAGGACTCTCGGTATTTTTTAAATTCACCTTTCTTTCTCACCTTTGGCAGTCTTATAGTCTTCTGTTGTGTCATCATTGGGTCTTTCCACCTTTCAAATAAGTTTTCCGGTGACATTTGTTTTTTACCATTTTGACTAGGGTTAGCTTATGGGCTTACCAAAACTTCAACTGAGACAAGTGTATAGTATGGGAAAGGGGACTGCAGGCCACACAGTCCACATAATGACTAAACCAAGTGTTGGATTCTGACTTAAAGCCTGCCACCAGATGCAGCTTAACTGTCACTTACTGCTCAGTGACAGGGTTTTGATACGAGTCTACAAGCAATTTATTATGGTCTCTGTGCAGTCAAACCTCTCTGCTAATGTTAATCTGTATATGCTGCCACTTCCCAGCGTTAGCATCACTGCCTCAGCTCTACCTCAGATCATCAGGCATTAGATTCTCATAGGGAGCATGCAACCTACATCCCTCGCATGTACAGTTCACAAGAGGGTTTGTGCTACGAGAGTCTAATGCCATGGCTGATCCGACAGAAGGCAGAGCTCAGGCAGTATGAGTGATGGGGAGCAGCTGTAAATAGAGACAAAGCTTCATTCACTTGCCCACCACTCACCTCCTGCTGTGCAACCTGGTTCCTTACAGGACAGAGACGGATATCCATCTGTGGCCCAGGTGTTGGGGACCCAGGATCTACTTTGTCCAAAGAAAACTGAAAGTGCAAAAGTGGTGAAGCGTATTAATGTCAATTTCCTGGTCCTGATGTTGTACTACAGTTAGGCAAGCAAGATATTACCACCAGGAGAAACTAGATAAAGAATATATGAGATTTCTGTATTATTTCTTACAATAGCATGTGAAGTTACAATTATCTCAAAATAGAAAGTTTAATTAGAAAGAAAACTAAAACTGTGCTACAAAGATAGTATCTCCAGACTTCTATTATACCTTTTTGAGGGACAATGTGAAACTTTGGACAATACAACAAGAAAACTGAAGGCTAATTTAATAATTATCATTTCACAATTACTTTATCCATTTAGGCATTTCATCTTTCTTCTGTTCTATTATTTTAGCACTTTTTAATTATAGCCTGGAATTATTGAGTAATGATGAAATCATTCATACAATGATAAAAATGGCAAAATATTTTAACATGTACAGAAAAATCCAAAAGGTAGCTTAGATTATAAAGGGATCCAATGGGCTCATATGGTAATCATAAGATAGAATGAGCTTATTATATATATGAACATTTATAAATTTATAAATAGATATGATATGAAAATTTACAATTTTATTTATTTATAAATGTATAAATACATTTATAAATAGATATGTCAGATTTATAAATTTTATATATATATTGTATATATTTATAAATGTATATTTATAAATATAATATGATATTTATAAATATATATATAATCTATAAATAAAAATTTTATCTTGGTTCTTTCGAAGATCACTAATAAAGAACAAAAGTCATGGAAATATCAATCCTTACAAATATTTAGAACCCCTCTATAAAGAAACTCAAATTAAAATTGAGTGTAGCAGTCCACAATGTTGTGCTGAGATTCATAGAAATCCAAACACTTAACAGAGCCTACAAGGCCGTACACGGTCTCATGCCTGACCCCCACCACCACCTTCTGAGGCTCTTCTGGCATTTCACTGTCTCTGCTCCAGCCACACTGGTCTCTGTTCCCCGCTCAGTTTTGCCATGGACCACTGCACAAGCAGTTCCCTCTATCTCTGGGGGAGTCTTTGCTGACCCCTAGTTCACATCAGTTTCCTTTTCATGAACTCTGACAAAACTGTTGATTACCTTTGGAGTACACATCTACATTTGTAATGATTCATTCACTAATGGTCTTGATTGATTGATTGATGTCTGTGTCCTCCCAGTAGGCCAAAAGCCCCATGACAGGAGGGCCTGTTTTCACACTACTGTATCCACAAATGTCAGCATTTACCTTCTCTCCTTCTTGAGACTGCTCTAAAATCATGTAAAGGAATTAAAGTACAAAGAAAGAATCCAAATAACAGGATGTGAGCCCAATGTAGCCTTTAGATGTGCAATGTTGTCTCCTAGTACTTAGAAAAACATTTCACTTGCTGAGAACTGTGGCTCACACCTATAACCCCAGCACTTTCAGAGGCCGAGGCAGGTGGATCACCTGAGGTCAGTTTGAGACCAGCCTGACAGACGTAGTGAAACCCCATCTCCACTAAATACAAAAAATTAGCTGGGCACGGTGACACTTGCCTGTAATCCCAGCTACTTGGGAGGCTAAGGCAGGAGCACTGATTGAATCTGGGAAGCAGAGGTTTCAGTGAGTTGAGATCACACCATTGCACTCCAGCCTGGGCAAGAGTGAAAACTCCATCTGAAAAAAAAAAAAAAAAAAAGGAAAACATTTCACTTTATCTTTACTTAAAAATCAGTAACGTTTATACCAAGATTTAAATTTCTGGCTTCTGTTGATTAAAAAAAACATATTGGACCTATGTTCCTTTAAACTGTCTAGAGCTAACAGGAACTGTCCCAGTTAAGTAGGATATTTAGCCCCAACTCACCTTTTTTTTTTTTTTTTTTTTTTTTTTAATTGCATTTTAGGTTTTGGGCCCTAACTCACTTTCTAAATTTGCTTCTCAAATTTGCTCCACATCTCACCTCAGGGATGGAGCTGTTATCTCCAAAGAGCCCCAGAGAGGCCTGGACCTGAAAATTATTGTGCTCTTCAGGGATTACAAAGATATTTTGTTAACTTACTTATTTTTTTGAGACGGAGTTTTGCTTTGTTTCCCAGGCTGGAGTGCAATGGTGTGATCTCCGCTCACTGCAACCTCCGCCTCCAAGGTTCAAGCAATTCTCCTGCCTCAGACTCCGGAGTAGCTGGGATTACAGGTGCCCACCACCACGCCCTGCTTATTTTTTGTATTTTTAGTAGAGACGAGGTTTCACCATGTTGGCCAGGCTGCTTTTGAACTCCTGACCTCAGGTTATCCACCCACCTGGCCTACCAAAGTGCTGGGATTACAACCTCTGCCTCCCAGGTTCAAGCAATTCTCCTGCCTCAGCCCTCCAAGTAGCTGGGATTACAGGCACACACCACCACACCCAGCTAATTTTTTGTATTTTCAGTAGAGATGAGGTTTTGCCATGTTGGCCAGGCTGGCCTCAAACTCCTGACCTCAAGTGATCCACCCACCTCAGTCTCCCAAAGTGCTGGGATTACAGGTGTGAGCCACCACACCCAGCCATGGTAGATATTTTAAATAAATGTTTGTTGAAAGGATAAAGTTGTGACCACAAGCCCCTAAGAGATAACACCCAGCTGCAGTGCCACACATGAACACAAGATGACAGTGTGCTCTCAGAAATCTGCATAAACCCAGCACAGCTGCTGATGCTCTGTAGTAAATAGGATGACTTGTCCTAATCAACTGTAAGAGAGAGCAACTACCAAAGACCAACAGCAACACAGCATGTGTCCTAGAGGGCCACAGGGGAAGAAACTAAGAAGGAAGGAAGCTTCAAGGCCAGGGACCCAGCACAGCACAGATGGGACTGCAGGGAAGGAACTAAACGTACCCGTCTTTGCTGTACTTAGCATGATCCACTCCCCCTGAGTGCTGAATTTCAAGGCCATGAAGTCGTGGTCAAGAGGCTTGGCTGCGAACAGGCTTTGAGCTTCCCATGACTCCCTTCTAAATCTAGTGCAGTGGTTCTCAAAGTGAAGTCTCTGCGCCAGCATCATCAGCATCACCTGTCAGAATCTACAGAAATGCAGATTCCTAGGCCTCACACAACCCTCCTGACCCAGACACTCTGGGATGGAGCCCAGAAACCTATGTATGACCAGATCCCTGGGTGGTTCTGAAGCAGCTAAACGTGAGAAGCACCGCTCTAAAGTCTCATTTCCCATCTCTTCCCACAGCCACACCCAATGAATCCTAATCCTCCCAATACACGAAGCTCAACACTCCTATCTCTAGTTGAGTCTGAAACATCCATTTCTTCCTCTCCTGTTTTGCTCTTATTCTGCCTTTGGGACTCAACTCAAGCCTCTTTTCTTCTGGGACACTGTGTTAGACTCCTCAAGATGATTCAGATGCTGCTCCTCCAGCCTCTGCCTTCTCTCTCTCTTAGCAATTATCAAATGATGCTTTTAGCTGTTGGCTACTGAATGTCTTACAGGATGTCTGAATGTCTCACAGTGTGAGCTGTCTTGGACATCTTGTTTTAACCCCCAGTGCCTGGCCAACAGAATTTTGCATATTTGTTAAATGAAATAATAAACTACCATCACCTGGTTGGCAGCTTTAGGAGGGTAATATCTTTTTCACCTACAGTAGAATTTTATATCCACACATATCCTAACTTAATTTTACATATGTTTTTAACATATATAGAATTAAATATAATATCAATAGATTGTATATGTAATTATATGCAGATTATAAGCTCCCTGCAAGCCTGAATTTCAAAACAATGCTTTGCTGCTTCTGACATTTGTAGAAGGGCTAAGGAATTCAACGATCAATAGCAAGGGCCATTTAACCGGAGGGTACGGGGGAACCAACAGGGAGCTTCCTGAGCGTATGTGGAGACCAGTGTGCTCTCAGCGTCTGTCTCCAGGTCTCACCCCTCTCTCGGTCTGACTCAGCTCTGGATGGGAGAGGGCTCCCAAGCTGCAGGATGAGGACATGTTGACTACGCAGCATTAAGCTGGACAAATTCCGCTGTCACAGAGCTGGCCTAAGGTGGAGGTGGTACTGGACATTCTGGCAGACATTGCACACAGGCACCTGTTGTGAGGCTCCACCACCAAGTTCTCAGGGTTTTTTGGATAATTCATGGTCACAGAATACAAGGTCAATATATAATTTCCAATGCTATTTGTATATACTAGCAACAATTGGAAACTAAAATCAAATAAGCAATACCATTTACAATAACATCAAAAATATCAACTGCTAAGAGATAAATCTGGCAAAAGAGATGCAAGGCCTGTGCACTTGAAAACTACAAAACTGCTGAGAGAAATTAAAGAAGTCCTGAAGAAATGGAGAATGTGCTCATGGATTGGAAGACTCAATTTTGTTGAGACTGCAAATACTTTGAAGCTTCAATATCCCCCTGCCTTGTCTCACTCTCTCCTATTTGTCTTTGTATCATCAATGTCTAGCTCTGTGCCAGGCACAAAGTAGTTTGGTGTTCACTGAATACATGAACAAGGAATAAGGTTTCAATTCCTTATACAGGATATATGAATAAATATAGGAAGAGATCTCAACTACCTGGGTGTGCAATAAAAGGCTTCCTTCAAGATGCACTAGGAATTTTATAAGCTCTGATGGGAGCTGGTACAGAAGTCCTGTTATGAGTGAGTAAAACTACATTCATCTGCTGTAGCTTGGGGGTCAGTTTGTGCAAAACAGCAACTGAAACACATTGGGAATACGGCCTGAACTCATGTGCTGAAGGACTTTCTCACATTAGATATATTTAAGCAGGGAGTCATTCAACATTTTAAAATATTTGTTGAACACCTGCTCTGGAATAAGGCTTGTGCTCAACACTGGGATCAAACTGGTAAAGCCAGGAACCATCCCTGTTTCAGCTATAAAACTGCAGTTGCTAACTTTGGGAACCATCTTTGTGCCAGGTATAAAATCAAATTATGTGTGTCTTTATAATAGCCTGATGAGACTTGTTATTGTTAAGCTTCACTAAATATGAAGAAACAGACTTAAAGAAACTAAGAGTCCCATTTTAAATGTAGGCCAAAGTGGCCTGCATTTTTAGAGTGCAATTAACAAAAAATTAAAAGTACACACTTTGTAGTTTGATAAGTTTTGACAAACGTATACATTTTGACACCATCATTGAGATACAAAACATTCTCATCACCCCAAAAGATTCCTTTGTCCCCCTTCCCAACTTCTAACATCCTAACGTTTTCTAGTGTTTCTTATAGATGGAATTATATATTATGTACTCAATTCTTACTTATTTGACTCAGCATTAATTTGGTGGTGCCCATCACTAAAATTCATTTTTATTACTGCTGAATTGAGACCTCTAGGGGAGAGAAGACATCAATCAAATAATCATTTAATTACAACAGCATCAAGTTCACATAAGTACAAGTTAAAATATATTACCTCGTTTGTTAACAATTCAATCAATACTACCTTGGTGTACAGTGGGGAGGGCTATAGGGTCATGACCGAGCTTGTAGAAAATAAATGAAAATAAATGTTAGCAAAGAGTGGCTCTAAAGAACGTTCTGTCCTCACGGTAATTTTTTTTTAATGTGTCAGATGCTGGCAGGAGGCACTCTTCCTTAGCTCTTTACGCCCATCCCTTAAACTTAGAAGAGGAAAGGATCTGTAAGGCGCGTACCCCCTCCTGCCTACTGTCGACGGCAACAGCCTCTCCCTGCACCGCCACCGCCACGCAGATGGCGGAGCGTGGTCAGCTCGGACGTGGCACCTGCCCTCAGCCGCCCAATCCCCGGCGCCGCCACGGTCACGTGAACAGCCGCTGACCTTTCTGCCCCGCCCTCTAGGCCCCGCTCCTGCGTGGGCCCAGCCCCACCCACCGCCCGTGCAGTCCTGCGAGCGTGGCCTCGGCCACCCCAGCTCCTAAGGAGCTCGCAAGGGTCAGGCTGCGCCTGCGTGGGACGTCTAGTGGGCGGGGCGAGGGCCGCGGGGTCCGCGAAGTGAGGAGGCCGTGAGGGCTGCGAGCCCGGGTTGCGCGGGGTAGCGCGGCGTCGCAGTGGGCCCCAGCCAGGCACCGGGAAGGCGAGCTCTCCTCCTCCACCTCCCAAAGTAAACTTTGCCGCTCACTCCGCGGCGCTCCCGAGTCCTCGCCGCCGCCGCCGGGCCGCCGCAGTCCGCGAAGAGCCTTCCTGCGTCAGGGTCTCTTTGCCTGCCTCGGCGCCATGGACGCCACGGCGCTGGAGCGGGACGCCGTGCAGTTCGCCCGGCTGGCGGTGCAGCGCGACCACGAAGGCCGCTACTCCGAGGCGGTGTTTTACTACAAGGTAGGGGCGGGCCTGCCGCTTCGGTCGGAATCGCAAAGTCGGAGTCCGGCCGGGGCCTGTGGC